AGCAGCTTTGGAGTACATAATTAGTCTATAGGTTTGCTATTGTTAAACTCTGTTTCATCGTTAACTTTCATACGTCCCTTATGAAATGTTTTGGCATTCAACAATCTAATGAAAGATGATTTGAAGAAACAGTTTCGTAGCTCAAATCAAATTAGCTCTTGTATCAATTATTTGACTGAAATGGGAATCGTATGTTTCAGTTTCATAGCCAATTATCTGATCCAAAACTTAATTTTACTGGCACTTTTTGAAAATTTTTGTTGAGTCACATCAGTTAATCAAAAGCAAACAAGTTGTTTTAAAAGACAAAGCCTTGCCTGACTTTTGGTTAAGTGAGTAACATTTTGTCTTCTACATTAGTATATGATTTGACGAATCATAAATTTTGAGGGCTCAAGATTTAATTTTCTTGATAGGCTAACCCTAGGAGGTACTGATGTTTCTTAAAGATTTGGACTGTTGCCAACAGCCTCCTAAATAACTTTCATTGTGTCTACCAATAGCACCCAAAAAAATTTCCCGGTGTTAATTTCCGGGTTTTCCTAATATCTCCGTTAAAAAATCGGTTTTACACAAAGCACAATGAAAAGTCTGACGTTTGTCAACAGCTCCCCGTGCTTCCCATTTATAAAAAAGTCAACAAGGTGAATGGAAATTATATGATTCAACACAGCTTCAGCTTCTGCTGGAGTAGACCGTGTTCGAATGTAATTTCGGAGACACAAGTGATTACATCAAGGCCATGGGATTTGTCGGGTCAGTAGTCACTGAGGACTCTTCCTTCTCCGAGGCGAAGTAATGGCTGTAGGAGAGCGGGACACGCCACGAATGCATGGCGAGCTTTCGAGGGCTATTAGAAAGGCCCAAGGGTTATTTCGTCCAAAAATAGCTTGGCTGAATGTCTTTTGAATGGCTGGAATTAGAAACTACTTTCATCGTGAAATTGGCACAGATCAAAACGGTAACAACAAAGAGATTGGTATTATCAATGAAGCAGTTATACACAAAATGTAGTCATTCTAAAAATTTTATGTTTTTAAATTAATTACTATTAAAGCTCTTTAAAATCATTCGACACTATTTATGATTGAATCTAAGTAATACCAATAAATTGTTAGTTTAAGCTCAGTTGCGATAACATGTTTCATTTTTTCTGACAAATTATTTGACTAAAGACTAACGTTTGTGGTACAGGCCAATAACAATTTCACTGAAACTTACTTTGTACCAAAAGCCTTTCTTCCTTATTCTGTGGCAGTAGTACTCACACCGAATAAGTAAAATACCGAGACTTGCCGCGAAGTCGAAGTTGGGTTTCAACTTTGTTCCAAAAATACGCAAAACCACCCAGAAAACTTTTAAGTTGAAACATAACTGAGGGTAGGTAAAGCACAGAATAATTGTGTGGCAGTGTATTCGTCTTTATTCAGTGTTTAGTCATTACTGTAAGTACTCCACACCAATGTTGCTGTTTGGTCGAGTTTATTCTCTAAGAAAATGATACACATTAATCTGATACGAATTTATGTTTACATTACCTTAAGCTTTTTTCAAGCTGTCTTACCGAAAGGCAATCACTATATACTTAATAATTTATCTATAACAGTAAAAACTAAATGTTACTCTATGTTTGTTTCGTCAAAAGCAAACATAAATGACTAATTATTTTCAAATCACATTAGAAAATCACGTACTGTTGTAAATTTTCTGTATCCTGAGCTGATAATTTATTTAATAAACCGTGAACATGGTGGATGCACGCTAATCGTGGTTGTTAAGCTACAATTCAGTGGCTCACACCATAAATGTAAAACAGCGATTGTTAGCCGAAAGAACAGCTGATGGGCGATAAAAAGGCGGTAATAATGGTCGGAGAAACGGAGGGAAACGCGCGTCCCTTGAGGTTTGGAACACAACCTTGACATTTGCAGCGGCCAATGAAACTCTAATGGCTTCCTTCTTTATAGTGAAATACTCCAACTCTGTGTGAAATGGTAAAATAGTTCGTGTCACTAATAGGATGAGTTGAATGCTTGTGAATAGATATTATTGGGAAATATTTAACCACGTTCATCATTCTAAAAAAATCAGTTTTTAAGTTGGCTGTTAAAAAACGAACTACAGTACAATCCTTATTGGGAATCACAATTTTATCATTGCTCTGATCAAATAATTCATCACATTTAACAACTGGGACGGGTGGCGTCGTCCTGTAACCCAGCTACTAGGAGGTTACAAATTATGGATATTTATAGGCATGCAATGTGGATGCGATACTCCCTGGCGTGGATTAACGTCCGCACGAGTGAGTACTACGACTATCCGCAGTACTATCCTGAAAATTAGACCAATTCGTATACGCCAAGGCAAAAATGTGGTTCGGATTTCACTATAAACTGTAGGTCCCTTATAAGTTGCCATTAGCTGTATGGGCTATTAATTATTAGCTGTGTCTAAAGGAATAAGTCGGCCTTTGTCACTAACAAGACAACAAGATCGCACCAATCATCATGCACTCATCTCCTTTCGTACGTGGCTTAAAATACCTAGGTACTTTGTATGGACGCCAATTCATTGAAAAGTATTGAAGTCCTGAGTTTTTAAAGTTCTTGGAGTTTGATATGATAAAGCGATAACAGCGATAATTTTGTTTCGTACTTTGTAATAGATTACAAACACATTAAGTGAATTATCCTCTTTTCAACCAATTTACTATACTATCTTATGGAATGGTGGATTTTAGTTTCATTTCGTATGGCTTAATCACGCTATGGGAATGAAATGTCAACAATATCAACAATCAAAGCTTTAAATGAAATGGTACACATTTAGATGGGACAAACATAACATAGTATCAATACAAAGTTTCTATAGATCTACTAATTCCACGGAATTGAATGATCGTTTTTGGTATGGGTTTTATTCGCCAAGGCTGCAGTTGCTACCAAGAGAGGCAGAAATATCTCTTCTTTGATCTGATGCAAACAAATACTTGGATGAAACGAACCAGACCAAGCAGACGATATGTTGAGGGAGTTGAGAGCTGCAAGACCCAAGTCTGGCAAAAGTTGTAACTGTTTTACATTCGATGACGTATAGAAACAATAGTATCCTATTTTTATAGTTAGTACCTACTATTAAAAAAAAATTAATTTAATTTCTTCAAAATGCGCGTAAATAATAACCGAGTTAATTTTTAATGTGCTTCTGTTGGCTTAAGGATGCGCTCTACCTCTCCGCCGCACTCTAATGCAAGGGTTTAGGATCTCCGTCATTGTCAGCTTAGTTCTTAACCGATTCAAAATATATTTATGTTCATTTATTCATTTCTAATATCTGTAGGCTTTTACTTTTGGAATTTTTTATAATAGTAGAATTTTAAGTGGGAAGTGACTGGTAAATACTTGTAAATAAGCGTTTTTATAAAGCATTTTACACATACAAATAAATTTTTTTAAAGAAAATTAAAAAAAATAGAGTCATGAATTTGAGTCTAAGGAGTAAGGAACAATCTTCAGATGAAAAATATTTTAAAAGTCAAGTGAGTAATTTAAGATGACTTAAACGTCTGCAAGCGCTTCTCGCGGCGCTGTTCAATGGCGCAACATAGCCACTTGACGCCCGAGTTGAGATTTCTGAGCTGAGGTAGAGCGCACCCTTATCGGCCAAGTGGCTTGTAGGCCAAGTGATATGTCGATCAAATAGACGACCTCCTATGCACAAATAATAAGGAAGGGTAGGCTATTAAAGAATATTTGGAATCATAATCTTACTCAAAATACACTACCAAATGACAAATTAATTGTAGACAATTCCATCCACGCTGTAAGGGAAAACTTTACTATACGGTAAATTTGAAGACGAAATGGAAATGAAACATTTGTCATCAAAATGTTAACTATTTCCCATCAATATAATATGACATGAAGCCTGTATTCAACAAATAATAAACTGTTTACAATGTGTTTCAAGACGTACAATGAAGGCGGGAATTTTCCCTTTAAATGGAATCGTAAAACTAAACGAGTTTTCCTCCAGAGTGTACTTCAACACCCTTTATACAGGATAATTTATTCATCGAGGAATAAAATGAATGGCTTCTACTTCAGACTCACATTTGAATTGAGCCATTCTTTAAGACGAATTTAATATTCGATAATGCAATGATGTTTTGTGTTAGTTCGGAGTTATTATAAAATTACCGCGCCGCAGATAAGCTCCGGAACCAACGAATTTATTGTTACGGAGATTTTTGTTCGGAGATAGCTATGTAATGGAATATACTTACAAGCCGTATAACGTTGGTCCACTGAATAACTTGATTTGCTTATACTGTACAAAACTAACAGGGTTTATTGCATTTTTAATCCCTCAAAGAAGTTATGAAATATCCGATTTATATGAATAAACTGGAACAGCGAACAGAATGATTTTATATTCACTATCCATACTATTGTGTCTAATGGTACGTCTGTGTGTTTGCGTGAGGTGTTACTTGACCATGTAATAGCTCCTGAACCGAATGAGCTAGAATTTCACAAAAATATTGCTACTATACAAAGAAATACAGTAGTTGAGGACTATTTCCACTTGGGTACTGGACGACGTCTTTTCCCAATGGATTTCAAAGTTCTGAGGTGAGGCTTTTACTAAAATTGAATTGATTGGTCTCCATGGTTGTAATGAGAAACTCACTTTTAGCTTTAGTTTGTATGTAAATGTATGTTATCAACTAAAAAACATGTATTCGTCATTATGGTAGTAATAACATGTGGACCTAGAAAACCGAAGTACCTTTGCAACCTCTGTATTCAGGATTTGCACACAGGAACGTTAGAGGTACGTCACACATATCGATGCATGAATTTTTCAATCAATAAGTAAGTTTTTTCTCATCACTACGATTCTTAATTAACAATTTGTTGCAACAATTATACTTCTTAACCATACTTTTAAATGTTTCACCTAACCCAACAATAAAACTTCATGAAGCAACTGACCTTTTCAACGTGGTGTGTTTAGTCCCGCCGTTCATCAGTTTGGGTTTGAGTTTCTCGCCATGGTGTGTAGGGGCGACCTCCCCCACACCACTGCTCAGACTGCTGGCCGAGCTCTCGGTCGACAGCGGGTTCTTCACCACCCCCTTGGCCCGAGCCAGGGCGGAGCCCGTGTCCGCGGGCAGGCACGGTCCCGTCACCAGCATGTCGGTGCCGTTCACCACTGCATGTCCGTTGGTCAGCCGCGGGTTCTCTAGGTCCACCTGGAAGCGGGTCTTGCTCGGCACCGGAGGAGGTTTTGCCTCTATGCTGGGGACCATGTACGACAGCATTATCACAAAACGGTCATACTGAACTTTGATTCACTCCCGGAACTTACGGAACTTCACGGAGGTTGCGCAGCGCACTTCACACTAAACACTCTAGGAGCTCGGCCGCTGACGGTGATGTCGCTTCTGGAACAAAACGCAAGAGTTAGTTGAAAAATAGTAAAGATAAATACTAGGATAAGACTTTCTAAGAAACAGGAAAAGTACTAAACCCCCTATAATATATTCGGTTCACAAAAGTTAGGTAGTTTTTTTGGGAAGAAATATACCCCCCTACTCGATCCTACCTTCTCGTCAGCTGTGATTTGCCAAAACGCCTATCAGCCGCAACATATACATCAAGCAAAAAAGGGTAGGAAGGGAAAATCCCCCCAAACCGCCTAAATTTTGTGAACGAACTATAGTACAATTTTTGTAGAGACAATCTAATAAGTTATATTTACTCACTTGGGATTTTTGTAAAGCGTAGGAGAGAAATCTGTGCGAAAATTTAGAAAAACACTGTACGTTTTATTTGCCATGGATATTTGGGGAGACATCCCCATAATGATGTAGATAATTTAATCCCATCGTCAAGTATTGAAACACAAATTCCGTATAGGAACCAATGACTTTTATTAAAACCTTCAACAAATTGTAATTGTAATTATTTCAAGTTTTTTGGTTGTTCCAAGTAAATAATACATGCTCAACATAAACACGGATTTTGACAAAAATAATATAACGCGGCTTATTTCTCTATAGTTTTAAACACTCACCAAACCGGGAGGAATGAATACTGTACTTAATGATTCCAACCTTGAAGGGATTAGTTACACTGATAACGAATCTTACGCTGATCGTTAAATTTTTAAATACATTCATATATATATATATGTACACTACATAGTCACATTAGTAACGTGTACTCTGGGTAAATGAGTGTTATTGCATAATGCATAAATAATAGATAAGAAGCTCTTCAAGTGAAGCACTTTCGTCCAAGATTTAGACGAATAATCACACGACTAATTTGTTAAAAGTACTTCATCATCGAGTCACAAACACTAGCAAATATTGATAAACCTAATGACTTAGCGACTTTTACTTCCTAATGTTTACGCCCCAAGGAAACCTATAATCAACAGTTAAATTATGCAATTCAAATGCGGTTAATGGAATGGAAAAGTATTAATTCAACACATGTTTCAAATTACAAGTCTCGTCAATACGTTGAAATACATCGAAACATAACCTTGCAATAGAGTCTAGTGTCGGGTATCATAGAACAGCTGTAAGGATTCTATGGCTTCCCTTATATAATCAGCTGACTTGGTTGTGCTTGTTGTTTGTTACTTTACCTTGTAGAGGCTTTCGTTTAGGTTAGGTCATGAAATGTTGGAGTTAGGATAAGTTGTATCATAAGAGATTGTACAATTTTTATTGTTTAAGAACTTTAACAGATAATGACTTTGAGTAGTTGTGTTATTTTCACAGAAATAGTGTTTAATGCCGTACTATTCATTTTGTGGTTTATCAAAGAATAATGTTATTTGTCTACAGGTTAATACACGTTGACATGTAAGTTGTTGAGTGTACAATTTAATACCTAAATGCTTAAAATAGCTATATAGTATACACGCATAAATGAATATAATGCGTTTAGGGGTGAGGGATTGTTTTTGCTTCCACATGCGATAACAGGGGTGTTGGTTGTCTAGTATTTGGTATCTAGCTGGTGGCTTTCTACATTTTTTAACCAACAGAACATTTTAAGGTAAGAGTGAAACACTGTGACACGTCATTATGAAATAGCTAAAAATAATCATTGATTGGCGGGATTCGAACCGTGGACATCAGAGCAGAAGGACCAAACGAGATAAGTTAATGTACGCACGTATCATAAGAGTACCATATTTACCGGCCTAAATAAAACATTTTAAACCAAGTACAAACCATAAATTGACAAAACTAACGTGACATCGAAATATGTCATTTTCAATCAAATGTCAGTTAATTCTTGTATAATTAATTGTTATAAACATGTTATGAAAACAGCTTGAGAGATGTATTTATAATTTTGGACAGTTCAACCCGAAATAACAACCAATAGCAATCAATTTTAGTTAGTATAATGGGAATAGTCTTCAATACTATGTAAAGATAACAATAAACAGTTTTCATTCATTCATTCATTTTAATTGGATTTAAATTAATTCAGTTCGCAATCTCAGGGAAGAAAAGCATTTTAATTCCTCTTTCCCTAGGTACCGTCTGTTGGACGTTTTCCATTGAATAATCAATAACAATAAGGGGAACTCTACCTTCTCCCATTAGAATGTATAATGTAATCAAATCAATACTTAAATACAAGTACTTCCCCGTTTTCTCATTTCTTTCACAAACTTTATATCAAGAAATATTTTAAAGGTTTGGTTAGTCTAGAACACATTTTTAAAATTAAATGGTATAAAATCACCACGATTGCTATACGAGCATAGCAATAATTGTCCCTAAATGATAGGTAAAATTGCGCGATCTTGATGTGTTGCTTTAAATGAGTAACACTAACTGAACACATGTATTGAGAAATTCTTTAACACAGACCCTCTGCCCCCTTATTCGATATTAACATTTAGAATGTCCCTCAAATATTCTGTTGCCTAGTGTCTACGGTCTTTGCAAGCATATCAAGTTCATGATTTAGGATAACGGATAACTCAAGATGAAAATAGTGAAAAAAAACCAGGCGAGTACTTTATAGTGACATACATATGTGGCAAATTAAATGTTCCTTTTAAACATTTATTTTTTTAATAATAATTCTAGGTCTTAAGATATTTATAAATTATATTTATATATAAATCATATTTTTTAGATTGGTGTATTATTTTGTACTTTGATATCAATTTGGTACAATATTGCAAGCACAAACACGAGCAAGAAAATGAAAGACGCCGCCGATAGGAAAGTGTTAAATTAATAATTTCTGCGATAACCCGGGTTCGTGGAATTAGAACTTTGATTCTTCGAAACGAGATCGCAATAGACGAATGACTCTTTGCACATCACACAGTGTAAAATCTGGCCGAACTTTAGTCGGGGATTAACCTCAAATCGATGTCAAACTTACATAATACTCATGCAACAGCACTTGAGTGAGATGACATGCAGTATGGTGCAATTGCTCTTCAGATATGACTGCATCGTTTTATAAACAATGGATACCTCTTGAGGCATATTGCAAATTGAAACGTTCACAACCGAATATTAACTAAGCAATGAAAAAATCAGAACTAACAGGTTTATTTTTTATGGTTGTTTTAAATAGGGAGGTTTAGCAGTAGGTAAGTTCGTTATTTATTCTTTGGGTTAACTTACATCCATTTAGATATATTTAGGTACATCCATTACATCACCAATTAGGATGGACTCAAGTGAGGTATTTCAACGCAAATATGAGTAGTAAAGGATGGGTAGCGTACTTATTGAAATCAGCTGTTTCATTAGCTAGTATCACCATAGACTAACCAACACAAGTAGACTTCTCATCCCATTGTAAATTTTAAAGCACGTTTTTCGTGTCTAGTTCATGTGCGTGACACATGGGCGCTAGTGTCGACGAAACTTTGTTTCTATTATTTTAGGGCTAATTTCTTGATTTGTGCTTTACTGTTTGGTTATATAACTAGGGGACAAGTTATTGTTTATGATTAGATCGTATTATTTGGCTAAACGAGGTTTTAAACGGCTGTAATAACGGGAAACAAATTGTAAACAAAACACGACATCTGCAGAAAACCGTACAGAACTAACAATAACATTGTCTTCAGCTGGTCCATAAGGATGAGAAATCTACTAAGGGAGTATGTTTTATCTATGGTATCACTTACTATAGCATAGATAAAACAAGAGATTCTCATAATTATGGATCAACTGAAGACAATTTGATTGTTAGTTCCACCCGTTGCACCGAAGAGGTCGTTATTTTTTACAATTCGTTTCTAGTTATTCCAGTCATTTATATCCTCGTTTAGCTAAATAAAACTATCTAATCATAAACGATAACTCGTCCCTTGTTATATAACCAACAACGCACAAATTATGAAATTAACCCTAAAAATAATAGAAACAAAATTGCGTCGACACTAGTGATCAGTGTCACCAACACGAACTACACACAGATATCTTCAAAATGGGGTTGAGAGTTCTACTTGTGTTGGTTAGTTATTAGTTAGTTATGTCACACGCATATTAGTCTATGCTAATAGCCCAAGGGCGGTTAGATTAAGATAACATCATTAAGAATAATCAAAGAACAACAGTTTTAAATTGCATAAAAAACAAGGCCTCAGGGAAATAAATTGTTACTAAATATTGGTGCTTACATAATTTGAGAAATCCCCTTTAGAAGACATAATGACATATATTTTATTCATACCATATTACCTTTCCCAACGAGACATGCATTGTCACCATTTCGATTTTGTATTATTTCAGTTTATCTTGGTAAACAAAATCCAGTCCCCCGAAAAATATCTGATTTTGAAATTATTTGCTGATTCTGAAATTAAGTTATTCTGAATGAAATTTATGTACCTTAAAAATCTACGAGTTGCACAGGATCTTGTAATAAAACCATGCTGTAGGCTAGCTCATAATCAAATTAATTTCCCAAATATAATTATTGTGTCAGTTGGATTATGAGCAAAATACACGACAGTATGTTTAGTTCTTTTTACATTACAAATAACAAATGCAAAGTCACATGTTGTAAAAAGCAACACTAAACCATAAATCATATAAGGTACTTTGCATGATATAACTATACTGTCTAAACAAGTTTGCCAAGTTGCATAAGGAAAGTTGTCTGCAGGTGTGGGTGGACTGACGAAGGCATGATATCACTGACGAAATGTCACTTGACTGTTCGAGCCTTTCGTAAATCAAGAAATGCTAACTTTAGTCAACCAACTTACATTTTCATTTAAATAAACTATAAATAATGATGTAGATAAGATCCAATTTAATCTATTTTATCATGAAGTGGTTCATTTTTTCAAGTGGAAGAGGTTAGTGAAGTTTAAGTAATAACATTGTCCTTTATGTAGCTGTGTTGACTGTCAGTTATAGGGAAAGATGTGTGT